CTTGTTTATTTATTATATGCATGTCAAAATCGCTTTCTTTATATTTCAATTAACTGCATTTTGTCAAGAGTTTTTAATTCTTTTGTAAGCAATTTGGTATAAACAAACTTGGGAAATGATTATAAACTCATAAAGGCACATAACTTAAACTAGAACACAAGATTCAAACTCAAACAACATATTTTAGACTAAGAAAATCTTTATAAATTGTATTTCAAACTTACATAGTCACGTTTCGCTGCATCCCGCCAAGATTATTTCTTAAGACTGTTTCCAGGTATTTTCCACAGGCTCTTTTTGCCATACAATGTTTCTTAAACTCATTCTTGTGCCAAAATTCAGTTAAATTCGTCCACATTTGTTAGAAATACTTATCTAAATTTCGCCGCCATATTGGATTTTGTTGTTTTGATTTCCCGCTCCCCTCAGCCATCAATGGAAAATCATTAATTGCACTCCTGGAGAGTGCAATTAATGAAATAATTGCACTCCTCTTAACCAATCAGATTGCAGTAATTTTGTCATGTATATAATAAGTAATGCTAAAATATAGTACTTAAAAAGAAGATTCTTGAATTTTGGAAATGTTCGGTCTTTGGATGTAATATGATTTGATAGTGCCCCCCCCCCCAGGAGATTCGCCCCCCCTCTCAAAAGGGGGGCGATATTCCTAGGAATATCGCCCCCCTTTAGGAAATTCGCCCCCCCCATATAAATTTTGAATTTTTGATCTAAAAACAAAACGATTGCAAGTTGAAAAGATTTATTGCGTGATTTATTTATTTATTACAAGGAGACAAAATTATATACACATTTTAGGCTTCTTAGCAACTGGTGGTGTGCACAGTCTGCATAACCACTCATTTGAGGTACTTAGACTAGTGTCATATTCTACACATCTAAAGTGGAACCATCACAGAGATCGCATAAAATCATGTTGTCGTATTCTTCTGGCAGTTTACATTCACATAGTTAACATATTATAAAAACAATCGCTTGCAAATTTTATCAATACGAGTGTTAACAATAGCCGCCACAGTAATCACTTGCTAACAATAAACTATAGGATTAGTTAAAAATCTATGGAATGTGTTGGGAAGCGTATTGATTATTGTCCGTTGAATCGTCAACTTTCCGTGTCAGTGATGTAATCTTGATTCTTCACTTCCGCAAAGAAAATTGCATTATATATGTGGTGTGGTTTATTCAAATAATTTCATGATACTTTGATTTTATTGGTGCATGCCTTAAACATTTGAGAATTAACTCTGCAAAACTAAAAGCTTTCTTGTCTTTTTTGAAACGTATATTATTGGATTATTGCCTATTGGCAAGTTCTGCCCTTCGCTTCTGAGATTTACAAACTATATTGAAATAATGCAAGTAAAAAATAGTGACAAACCATACATTTTCCGATAACGACAAAACGTGGATGCAAAACAATACCAATAATTACAATAACCACCACGGTGATTACTTTTTAACAATGAGTTTAAGGATTAACACTGAAAATGCAAAATATGCATGGTGTGTGCTGTGAAGCGTCATAAGTCCTATTGATCTACTGTAACTGTGTAAGCCCTTTCGATACATGTAATTGTAAATTTGTATTCTTACATGCAGGGCTTGAAATAACGTTCCCAAAGTTCCCGATCATGGTGATCGGCAGTCGCGACTTTCCCTGCTTTTTTCAGGTTGGAAACCGAAACCCTACTTTTCCGCCGATCATAAGCAATTCCTTGCCGATCATTGATCGGTGATCGGTTGTTTTTTCAAGCTCTGTCTTAACAATTTTGAATTGATACTGATTTCAAATGATTAAAGCCATGTAATAATTATCCCATGCAACTGTTAGGAAGGGCGAAATTTTGAACGGAGGACGAAAATCCTAAAGAAAAGGTGAAGTTTCTAAAGGGGGGCGAATTTCCTAAAGGGGGGCGAAAATCCTGGGACACCGTTCCATATTCTTGATGTTCGGATTTTGTAAGATTTTTCATAGATTGACGTCTGGTATGTCGGAATTTTATATTTGTGCGAGTTGGGGTTAAATGATCTTGTCTGTCTCTATATTCTGTATCACAAATAAAGGGAACATTTAAAATATATTTAGTTGCACTCCTTTGAACTCGTTCTACTTTTTTCACCCGCTCAACTGTTTGGGGCGCCCATACTTGGGTGGCATATCCTATAAGTGTGAACGAACCAGAGAAAGGTACAGTGTTCGTCGAATTGCAAACTCGCGAATATTGAAAGTTGATCTTCGAATATAACGGATAACCCAGCATTAGCTTTGTTACTTAAAATTGTTTTGGAGTTATCATAAAGCTGTATTGCATCATCGTTCAGGGGTGGAGTCTATCATAACATATAATGGACAAACAGCTAAGACTCCAGGAGAGAAAGCGGACCTCTTTAATGGGTATTTTTGCTCCGTGTTTATCACATCTAACACAGTGCCTGGTATGTCTGCCCGTCCTAAAACATCTCATATGGAAATTTCAGATATAGAACTATCAGTGGAGGAAGTATCGAACTGCCTATCTAGTTTAGACACATCCAAGGCAACTGGTCCTGATGGTATTCCCGCACGCATTGTCAAAGAATGTGGCAAAGACATCGCGCCTACTGTAGTCTTTGTGCGTTATTTATTCACCTTTGCGTACTGGGCGTTTTCCCTCGGAATGGAAGAATTCAGACGCCACACCTGTGCATAAGAAAGATTGCCTTAGATCTAAAAGAACGTGCTGAAAATTACAGACCCATCTCTTTATTGCCCAAAGTGATGGAACGCTGTGTCTTCAATAATTTCTATGCCCACGTATCACACCTAATGATCACACGTATCACACCTATTGATCTAGGCGTCGTTATGAATTCCAACCTAACCTGGATCAATCAAGTAAACAGGGTGCGATCTAAGGCTAATAAAATGCTTGGATTTATACGACGGACTACAATGGAAATGCATGACATCGGGGCGAGGAAGTACCTTTACTTACAACTGGTCCGCAACAATTTTGCGTATGCGTCTCAAGTATGGTCTCCACAAACAATCAAATTAATCGAGAATATCGAGAAGGTACAGAGAAGGGCGACAAAATACATTTTAAATCTGGGTTTTATCACCAACGTTCCATATACAACAAGACTACTTCAACTCGACTTACTTCCTTTAACTTATTGGCACGAATATTTGGATTTAGTTCTACTCTACAAAATAATCAATGGCTACACATATATCGATGACAGTGCTCGACCAACAATGGCTGGTTCTGGAATAACGAGGAGCGAAACAAATGAGAACGTATATAAATTTTCAATACCATTTGCCAGTACGGTGACCTTCCAGACTTCTTATTTCATTAGAGCATGTAAAACATGGAACATTTTGGGCTGTGATCTTCGTCACAGAGATATTGGTCTGAGTACCTTTAAATCAAAACTTAAGACATATTACGAACACGCGCTATCCAAAATATACAATTGTGACGATCCACGCACATGGAAGTCGATATGTGTTAAATGTAGAAGGGCGAGGTCCCTGGACGGTGTTTTAAGATGTTGCTAGTTGCATGTATGTTATGTTTTGTTGTATGTTATGTTTTGTTAAGCGTAATGTCAGTTGTCTGTTATTAGATTATTCAATACTAATATTAACATGATTTAGATGTAATTATTAAGGACTCGCCGTAATTGGGGACACTGTGGCGAGTATCCTGGCACTACATTGTTAAAATTTAAATTTAGTAGTTGTCGAACATTATTAAATCAAATCATTAAATCATTAAATCTAATTACTTTACTTCAGCACGTCTTCATGCGCATGCAATCGTTCGTGTGTGCAATCACTCAGCTTCTATCAGTACTCCACTCCACTGGAGAATCGCTTGATCGAAACATCCGAACGGATATTCTTTACCTGGTTTTCGCTAAGGCTTTTGATTGTGTGGATCACGTCATTCTTATTGATAAACTTAAATGGTACGGTGTAACAGGTCATCTGCATGCTTGATTGGTTTACTGATTATCGTAGGAACCGATCTCAAAGGGTTGTGATTGACGGCGTAGCTTCACAGTACCTACAGTACCAGTTACTTCTGGCGGGCCCCAAGAGACGCATGCAAAGAGTTCAACAAGAAAAAGCCTCGGTTTAATGATAAATGCCAACTTATATTTTCAGTTGTCAACAAAACTAACAAGATGCTTGGTCTCTTGAAAAGGACATGTTCCCTAGGTTATTGAACACAGCAAAATAAGGCAAACCCTATATCAGGCATTTGTTAAGTCGCAACTGTGCTATGCGACGGAGGTATGGTCACCAGCTACTGCTAAGTCACAGATGACATTAGAAAGGATTCAGAGGCGTGCATCCCGCTGGATCCTGAAAACGAATGTCGGAGAGATGCCTTATAAAGATAGGCTGACAACCCTAAACCAACTACCACTAGTTTATGATCGAGACCTTGTTTTGGTTTATAAATCTATTTTCGGTTGTATTGACTTGAACATTGAACAGTTTGTTTCTTTTGTGCAACATAGTCGATCTCGCTTTCAAAATCCATCCCTTGTTTTGAAACCTTCGTACTGTAAAACATCAACTTTTCAGGCTTCGATTTTCAACCGAGTAGTTAAGCCTTGGAACTATGTTTGTAAAATAGCCTACACAGATTTATTCGCCAGCCTAGTTATTTTAGTTAAACGCTTCCTGCACACGACAGTGGCGTGCTGGCAGGGGGGGCCGGGGGGCCACGGCCCCCCCAGCTGGCAATTCTTGGGGGGCGCAAAAATGAAAAGGGGGCGCCAATCCCGCGCCGAATTTTGAAAGTAGGTGGGAAGAAACGCATTCGAAAAAATATAGTTACTAATTCCGCCAAGGAAAGATGTGTTTATAGACTTATAAACAGATTGGTCTGTTGGTCTGTGTCTCTTATCGACCCCCAGACAGCCCGCTTGACTGCTTCGAAAAATATTTTAAACCTAATTATGTTCATGCCCTGTCGATGGGAAAGTTGATCATTCTTCTTGGAGACCTAAACTGCGATATGCTTAAGCCCACACCTGGATCAGCGTCTTTGATCAAGACGACAAAAGAACTCAACCTTAACCAGTTAATAAAATCACCAACAAGAATTACTGAATCCAGTCAGACCCTCGTCGACGTTATTTTCGTATCCTCGCCAAGACTAGTAGTCAACAGCGGCGTCATAGAAACCTGTATCAGCGATCATTTCTCTGTGTATGTATCACTAAAACTTAAAACCGACAAATCTCCACCAAACTATATCACTACCCGCAGCTACAATAAATACGACCCTGATTTGTTCGCGATCGATCTGGCATCCAACCGTGATCGTCTTGTTTCCATTTTCAGAATGGACAATGTTGATGAAAAACTAACCTTTTTAATGAAATATTTTTAAATACATTGGATAAACACGCCCCAGTAAAGACCATAAAAGTACGCGGAAAATCTTGCCCATTTATCACCCCGGAAATAAAAGCATCCATGATCAAAAGAGACCAGCTCCACAGTCTTTTCGGGAAAACACGTGATCATTATGATTGGCTTAATTTCAGAGAGGCCCGCAATTTTACAAAAACCGCACTTGTTAATGCACAGAAAGAATATGTACTGAAGGAAGTTCAGCAACACAGAAACAATACTGGGTCACTTTGGAAGGTAATTAAAGAAAATATAGCGTATAGGGAAAGAGAGTCAGTGGTCTACAGTAAGGAACCGCAATTAGTGGCCGAAGAGTTTAATCATTTCTTTTCCACCATCGGTATGAATGCAGCAAAGAAAGCCTCAACACTAATACAAGATCCTAGTGTTTATCCAGCTCGGAATCTTTCTGACGTAAATCGCACAGATAACAGCTACCCTGAAGAAAATGATAGATTTAGTTTCACCCCAGTCTCTTGTTCAGAAATAAGGAACATCATATTAGCTATGCCGTCAACCAAATCACCCGGCAAAGACAAAGTGAGTATGCGTGTCATCAAACACAGCCTACCGGTAATTCTTGGGCCCCTCACCGATATCATTAATTGCTCACTGTCGTCATCTTCGTTCCCTATAGCATGGAAAGAGGCAGAAGTTATCCCTTTGTTAAAGGATGGAAACCACGAGGAAGCATCAAATAACCGCGCACTTTCTCTCCTTACCTTTCTTTCGGAAATTTGTGAAAAAGTCGCCTTGAATCAATTTGGTTCGTATCTAATGAAGAACAAAAAATTGTCAACCCACCAGAGCGGGAACAAGAAACATCACTCATGCGAAACATTGAATCTTTTGACCGGAGATACTATCCTAAAGGCCATGGATGGGAAATTGGTTACTGCACTGATTCTAATAGATCTATCTAAAGCTTTTGACAGTGTAAATCATACTTTTCTCCTTACAAAACTTAGCAACGTCGGGGCTTCTCCAAGCGTTGTAAAATGGTTTGAGAGTTACTTGACCGGAAGAACTCAATCAGTCAGAATTGGATCAACTGTGTCTACTCCTCTCCCTGTTTCTTATGGTGTACCACAGGGTGCAATTTTATCACCTTTACTTTTTAGCATTTATACTAACGATTTGCCCTCATCAGTCCACCATAGTAAACTTGAATCGTACGTGGACGACTCCAAGATATTACTATCTTTCACTGTGGCTAACGTGGACTGTTTAAAGCAACAACCTGAGGAAGACTTGTATTTGATTGCAAACAGTTGTTCCGAAAATGAATTGCTTATTAACCCGGGAAAGACCAAATACATGCTGATTGGCACACGGCAAAACCTACAACAACCTCCCGTAGATATGACCATAAACTTCCTCAACGAGACTATTACCCCCGTCTCCTTTGCCAAAGATCTAGGAATGACAATCGACTCTTATTTGACATATGACCAGCACATCCCCAACCTGGTTTCCTCATGTATGAATTCCCTGTGCCAAATAAACCGAGTCAAAAAATGTTTCGATAAAGAAGCTTTAACTCTCATCGTCTCGGCACTTGTAATGAACAAAATGTTCTATTGTTCAACGGTTTGGTCAAACACTTCGTCTACCAACATTAAGAAACTACAGTTGGTGCAAAATTTTGCATGCAGGATAATAACAAATATTGGAAAGTTCGACCATATTTCGCCGGGCTTACGCGAACTTAACTGGCTCCCAGTAAAGGAACAATTACTACTAAGAGAGGCTATTATGATGTACAAATGTGTCAATGAACTTGCTCCACATTATTTGAGCGATCTATTCACAAAACGTTCTGACATTCATCAACGAGATACACGTAGCCATGACTCACTGCAAATACCATTGTACAAAACTTCTGCAGGTCAAAGGTCCTTTCATTATAGAGGCGTTACACTCTGGAATGATTTGGACATTAAGTTCAAAAAGTTAGACTCCCTAAAAACTTTCAAAAACGAACTGAAGCGAAGCATGCTAGAACAAATATATAAGTAGATAATTTTACCTTGTTTAAACTTTATACAAATGTCTTACCTTTTTACCTTAATTTAAATTCTAGATTCTAAAACTTGTAAATAGAACAACATTTATTTTTTGTAAATCAGTGTTGAAAATCCCTATTTAGGGAACACAATAAAGTATGTATGTATGTATGTATGTATGTATTAAGCGTATATGCGACAAAGTGAGTATATTAAATTGCAGACTATTTTGTCTAACCGTATTTGCTACCTCACAACTCACACGAAATCACTCGTTCATATAGAAACATGATCAGTGATCACACGCAATGTCTCATTACCGGAATATTGACCAGGCTTCGAAGCGATCACGGGAATTATGCCTTTTTTGCTGGTATTATGCCCTTATATTATGCCCTTTATTATGCTTCACGAATCACGAGAGCGGCGCAAATTAGATAGTTGAAGTTATGATAATGTAAAGTTGTGTACGCAATTTAGTTGTTTGCGCAAGAAACATTATGAGTAATGTAAGTAATGAGATAATGATGAAACACGCCCTTTTGGCAGCCAGGCAAGGAAACCTTAAAATGCATATGCGTGGGGTTCGTGTGTTATTGTATAAAAGAGCTGTAAATTGTAAATGTATTCAGATCAGTAGAGAATAGAATTGGGATTAGATTAATTGCTGGAAGTAGTTAGCATTGCCCAATTTAAGTGCTACTACTAAATTCTAACCAATTTTCAAATTTCGATACGTTGTAATGCCGTTTCCTGATCATCAGATTTCTGTCAAATCTTCCCCCAAAGTCCAGGAAATGGCATTTCAGAGACTTTAAATTCAAAAATTTTCCTGGGGGGCATGCCCCCGGACCCCCCTAGACAAACCTCGCACCTGCGGCGCTCGGCTCGTGCCTTCGGCCCTCGTTTATCAAGGGTAATATTATAGGGGCGCATATTAGTTCCCAGCACGCCACTGCTTCGCGGTCCCGACTAATAATGGTCCGTGTGATAATCATGAGTCACTTTATTAACTGTTAATTATCACTTAATTCGTTCTTTTTTCTACCGCGTTTCTCCAAGTAATTATAGATTGGCATAAAAAAGTTCAATGAGAAGTGTTTCAGGCTGTAGATTAGCATCCTATGTGTAGAAATATCATCCCATTTAAACGAGCACATTTTCTTTGACAAATTCGTATGTCAAAGAAAACTTGAGAATTTCAACAGCTAACAATTCGTCCCACATACCACACTGCATGGTTATTTCACGTTATTACACGCCCATTCATTGCGATATCGGCGGTAATAATAAAAGAAGCATTGAACAAATAGTTCAGTTGGTGCGCTAAAAATCAAATAATCCACCTGAACGAAAACAATAATATAGGAAAACTTATATATATTACACTGTAAAATTATGCAAATAAAGGGTTGTTTAAAAGGAAGCAAGCCAGCTCAGATACCTGGGCTAGCTCGCTCTCGTTTCCCAAGCTAATTCGGTCAAACACAACGTCGCATTTTGTATGTGTCGAATTTAATAGCTTGAATTATGTACATGCGAAATCCGACGTCTGAAAACATTTAAATTCAACGTTTCTAATTACGGTCGACCGTAACTTTAAATTCGACCGTTGCGGTCGGATAAGATAAAATGTGAGAATGCGAGCAAAGTGCGACGTGGTTTCAGACGTCGCATTTTGCATCTGTCGAAATCAATTCTGTTGGGCGTGGCTGTAAAAACTTCATGCGATCTTGTTGAAATGTGATCTTAGGGGCTGATTACATGGAGAGTTTTCAGCCCGGGCTGAGTTTCAGCCCGGTTTCCCGGGCTGAAATTTCACCCCGGCCTAAGGATAAAATCCTAGTAAAACACAGCAAGCGATTACGTGACCAAAATTCCAGCCCGGGCTGAGTTTCAGCTACCCGGGCTGAAATTTCAGCCCGGGCTGAAACTCAGCCCGGCATGCATGTAATCGCAAATAATTTCAGCCCGGCCTAAAAAACAACCGTTTAAATGGCTTTATTTTGCGTGTTTGTTTAATTTTTAAATACTTTACATATAACCACAGTCTCAAACAAGTCAAATACTGGACTAATCAGTGTCTGATTGCTTCAAAGAAGCGTAACACGCTTATTGACCTATTTCGTGACACTCAGATTATTTCAGCCCGGGCTGACATTTCAGCCCGGGTTGATGATAAATATAACTCTGACTAAACTCAGCCCGGGTTGAAACTGCTCATGTAATCGTGATGCAATTTCAGCTCGTTTAACCGGGCTGAAACTCAGCCCGGGCTGAAAACTCTCCATGTAATCAGCCCCTAAGTACAAAATATATTAATTAAATTAAGTTAACAGAATAAAATGCAGTAAACGACAACATACTTCAAAAGCGGAAGTGTGCAGGTTTTAGCGTTTTAACGGTAATGCTTATCAAGTTATATAAACTTTGTATGCGTCGCGGCAAGTCATGTTTATACTGTCACGGCGATGACAAGTACGATTGTTCTATAAAACTAAAAGAATACCGTAATAATCTCAGTAAACGTCTGTGTCAGAGTAGTTGTATAGTGGAAAATTATTTGTGGAATTCCAAACGAATCATTACAATTATGCCTTTATTCAAAATATGGAACACATCCAGAACATCTAAGAAGTTTGTTATGGCTGATAACCTCGAAAGTTTGATTGAAAAAGGTAACTATATTTATAGGCTTAAGGCCTGATTACATGGAGAGTTTGAGCCCAGTTTCCCGGGTTGAATTTTCAGCCCGACCTAAGCCTAAGGGTAAAATCTTGTTAAAACACAGCAAGCGATTACATGCCTTTCAACTATCAGACGATAAGTGTTTCAAACTATCCTTTCCAGATTAATACAAAATAGTCATTGAGCTGAAAGAAATGGGTATTACCGTAAACCTCCGATTATAAACCCCCGAATATAAGCGCACTATACAGGTATATAATACTCTTGCACTAAAAAAATTCAAGCAGTGTGTATTTAAATTATATAAAGTATTAATTTTACAAAACACTTGAATGTTCGTCCTGATTTTTGAACGTTTCATTACTGTATTACGCTTATTATTTTTTGTTTATTTTCGTATTTATAATTAACAATAAATTCTTGTTTACCATTAACACAAAATGTCGTCCACCCCCCACCTCTATATAAACCCCCGCCCGTATATAAGCCCATAAAAAAACGCTTTATACGAACTTATATAAGCCCAGGGCTTATAATTGTATAATATAAACCCAGGGCTTATAATTGGAGGTTGGTATGTGTGAATGTTATTGTGTGAACTAAATAAATTGCAGACATATGCAATAGCAAACCTGTTGTTTTTTCACAAAATTAATGTTTTGACATGGGGTAAAATTAGCCCTGTTTAATTAACAGCGCGCTAATAATACATTAAATGGAATCCAAAACGACCGTCGGAGCAATTAATTGTACAACAGCTCGCATTTTAAAAGCAGTGGCAAGCATTTACACATTCGCACAATAACGAAATGTTCCGGTCAATGTATGTATTTAATTTCTTTAGAGACGCTATCCTCATCAGCTATAGCCTATACGGCTGATTTTCATGAGGGGCGTCTATTTAGCTATTACAAGTATATAAAAATGAAGAAAAATTACTAATTAACCCACAGACCCAATAGAATATTACCTAACCTGAGTATCAGGCCGTACTTTTTAGGGCACAGGCACGCTTGATCGCGGGCGAAGGGGAGAAAAGTACGGCCTGACACAAAAGCGGCATTTTGCCTGGTTATTCAGTCCAGAATCTGGACTGACCGCTGATTGGCCGATTAAACAAACGATTTTTTAAATCTGTCATTTGATTGGCTGGCGCTAATTAGATTATACTATTGTTGTTGATATATTTTATAGCCGGCCCACTAAACGGCTGAATTTAAATTAAAACTGCAGTAAAATTAGAAAATAATCGCAAATTAGCGAAATATATTGCAAATGTAGCTTATATTAAATCGCCATCAGATTGCACTATCGACTAACTGACGTATAGTTATAAAGTATACTTTTATATACTTTATAATTATACGTCAGTTTGTTGATAAATACGGCAAGCGCCATGTAAAGCTCATTGTAGTCACGGAAACCTCTGCGGAGGAGAGAGCAATCGGGTGGCGATTTAATATAAGCTACATTTGCAATATATTTCGCTAATTTGTGATTATTTTTGTTAATTTTATAAGTTCATTGCAGTTTTAATTTAAATTCAGCCGTTTTAATAGTGGGCTGCTATGCTATAATTAGATTGTTGTTGTCGTTGTGTTAAATTTAAATTTCTCCTGCGACATTTTGATTGGATACTAAATATAAACTTTGCTGTGGGCGGAAACGCCGGAAAGCGATCAGGTTAAATTTTGTGTCAGGCTCTATTTGTAAAATAGAGCCTGATACTCAGGTTAAATATTACCCAGAACATAATGTGTAGTTACAAATGGAATAACAATTAAAAACAAGATTCAAATAAGTCTTTTGAAACAAGAATGTTTCGTCCTTGAATCTAGACGGCGGATACATCAAACGATGATTCGTTTGCTAGACTGCGAGCGATCCCTGCTTTCCGCTCGTTTATATTCCCGGGCGTGCGAGGGGAAACGAGGGACTGCCGACATTCGACAACACATCAAGAAACGAAATACGACCACTTTTCCCAACAGATACAGTTAATTCAAAAAAGGTTGTCCTTTGCAAACCTTAAACTCTAAACCTTACACTCTAAGCGCGCAAAGCTTAATGGGAGCACAAGTTTCAAGCTTAGTAGTTGAATATTGCAGCTATTTGTGAGTGAATTGTTCTCGTAGGGAGATATTTACCATGCTTCTAAGAAATGCCCCCATATATGATTTCTAAACTGATTAAATGATGCTCCCATTATGCTTTGCACGCTTAGAGATTAACCTCCAGACCCCCAATTCCCTACTAGTAAAGATAGGCAATTCTAACTGGGCTTCCGCTGGGGAACGCCTCGAAGCGAAATTTGGAATTTTAGAACTCTCGCGATATGTGATTTAAGACATCATTTAGAACATGTGCAACGCCTGGTAATAATTGCACAATACAATATCCTATTTACTTTTTTCAAATTTCACAACAGATTTAAACATGATCTACTCTTGACGAAATAATTTTACGACTAAGTATTTCACGACTGTATAATCTTTTTGAATATTTTAACATAGCCTTCTTTCTAAACATTTTCTAGGAAGGTCAAAATTGGGGCTGACTGATAATTTAAATTATAAGGTCTTTGATGAAAGTGATGGGACAGAGATAGATGATGATGAATGCTTGGTCGAGTATGCCAAACTAGGCGGTACAATAGTAATTGGCGTCCAATGGGAACCTGTTGCCACCAATGTTCCTACACCTGTTGCCACGACAGTTTCTTCATTTGTTGCCACGACTGCTGCTGCATCTGTTGTTTCCACGACTGTTCCCATGACTGCGGCCACGACTGTTCCTATGACTGCTGCCACGACTGTTCCTACATCATTGGAAAGTTGGCAAGTCGATGATGTTTTCGCCTCCATGCCTAATAGACAATGGACTCCGGATGACGACGTGCTTGAGTTTCATGGTATTGGTGATGATATATCTTTGGCAACAACAAGCGCCATCTTATGCGAAGAACAGGGACTAGTGAACCCAACTGATGGCGATAGTGCTGGTGAACGTTCGGACATCACTATAACTGGAAAAAAAGAGCCTTCAAATCTCAAACGATCAATCTTCGAAGAAATATTGACTGAAAGAAAAAAAGCAAAAAGCGATGGTAAGCATATTAGTATGGCATATAAACTTATTTTTAAACCTATTTTTTCCAAGTAAAAATAAAACTGATGAATGTGGTACACTGATCTTTAATATATTTTGAAATTTTAGATGAGCAATCGCAACATGAGAAACCATCGATCGTGTCGAGGCTAATGGGTGATAGGTATCGCCATGCAAGACAAAAGGGGTTAAAAATTTATGAAAAAAAAGAAATCGAAGCAGCAAAGTCCGATCTTGAGAGAATGAGAAGACTGTTTTGGAATGAGAAATGTGAACAGTTAAGTACTCGTTCTGAAACTGCCAATCAAGAAAAATACGCAATTATTGGTATAATAGACGTCGCTTGGACTTTGCGAAAAACAGCATTACTGGAAGAAGAGTCTAGGAAATTAGAAATGGACGAACAAGAATTGTTCGGTGCCGACGAATGTCTGCTAAGTACATCATTGCCTGGAAGGGGGAAACAAAAAGCGTCAACTATTCCTCACAACATCGATCGAATGAATATCATCAGCGAGAATTTTTTGCAAGTTGATAGAGAAATGACCAATTGCAAGAAAAAACTCCAACATGCTGATGCGATTGAGAAAAAAAAATTAAATGAGCGACTGAAACAATTAAAGATAAGACTTGATGGTTCATACACCGAACTAAAACGCGCACAAGATGCACTATCTAAAGCACTAAAGCACAAAAGAGACACACTGAATCTTCGTTTGAAAAACAAAGATAATTAACTGATTTAAGTAGCACCGTATTTATGTAATATAACCGATAAAAAGTGATTGATTTAAGAGACATGTGGACTACCTTTCACTCTGCAAGCTTAGCACACGCGGACACCATGTAGTTTTCCATTGTCTCATTTAAACTCCGTGGGAACGAAGAAAAATAGGAAACGCTTGCAAAAAGTACATCGTGGGTAGCCCAGTGAACTCTGTATACATGGAAGGATAACTTCAGTCAATTACGTAATCAAAAATTGAAGCCAAAGATGCCGGAATTTGAAGGCATTCTTGGGCGTCAGTTCCAGTCCCCTACATGCGCGGTTCCCGCGCGCTTTTAAACTATGGTGACAGCGCGGTAGGGGACTGGAACTAACGCCCAAGAATGTTTGGCTTAACTTTTTGAGCTTGAGTTATCCTTCCATTTATATAGAGTTCACTGGGGTAGCATAGTTCCTTGGCCTTTTCCTGTCGGCCTTAGGGTGGTAGTTTGACAGGGCTTGCAGGTTGGCCGAGACTATGATTGATGAGGCATGAGAGATTGGCGGTTGGATATTTTCCTAAACAGGCAGCCCGTGCAAATTCATGTCAGCCTGCAACTCGCCCGTGCATGGAAGGCCAAGGAATGAGGCTGCAACGTGGGCACAATGTTTCCACATATCTTTTCTCTAGCTGGAATCGCTAAATTCTTTAATGCTATTATATAAACCAATCGTTGGGAAGACAATACTCTTCATCTAAACGAAATGCAATTTCAAGTTACTAATGATATTTAAATAAATTTTCCTCCTTTTGTTTGCACGACCATATATAGGAATAGTTGTCTAGTCATTAACACTAGAAATACGAGTATACTATAATAATCATTTTATAAAAACGCATTAGAGAACAGAGGAAGCAGCTAGCTATGTATAGACATTAATTTTCTGCAAACAATATATCAAATATTACATGGATAATTCATGATAATTCTAGCAACATTTATCAAGTAGACAAATGAAGTTCGATGAATGAGAAACATGAGAAACAAAATGAGGATTTTTGATCGTCTTCCTGCCTTTTAATTTTTCAAATATCCATAAGAATATAAATTTTGAAAATCATACGGTCTCTCCAAAATTAATTCTCATATCCTATAATCAGGGACGCCGCAACTGGGGGGGGGGGTGGGGGCGGCTGCCCCCCTTGCCTTTTGCTAGGGGGGGCAGGGGGGGCAGAAGTGCCCTTTTAGTTATAAAAAAATAGGTGATAAATCACATTTAGAACGATGGTTTTTGTACGATAATTATGAGATTCAGGCAATTTATAGTTTATATTTCACTTACGGTATGTGCGGAAAAAATTTTTGACCCCTAAAATGGTACACTGACCGAAATATTTTTGGCGACGGGGGGGGGGCTGGGGGGAGGGAGGTCGCCGAAATTTTTTAAAAAATTTCGGAGGATTTTGAAGTTGTGCTTTTGAGAAGTGCCCTTGCTGTGGGTCCGCCCCCCTTTGCCCTATGATCGTTCCGGCGTCCCTGCCTATAATACCCTTGGATGTTTTGTACAGTAACATCCCGCTTATAAAAGCCTAGAATTCTCAAAATCAGGCAATAAAACCATAGTCTCACGAAAAAGTCTTTTACAACTTGTGCGTTTTTACCCGTGTATATTATTTTCCCAAGGTTGGCAAGAAATACCGATCTAACACTGTATACAAAAACGAAATGACGAAAACTCGTACATAAACATCGAAATTCATTAAAAAATTTTGCGAAAATTCATGAACGTTTTCACTTTCATGGAACCCATCGGAATTTTTCGGCCATGATTTTGTGACCCTTCGGAAAATGTCGTCGACAGCCCTAATTTTCGTGACCATTCGGAAAATGTCGTCGACAGCCCGTCCAGCTTTTCGCCTATTTGCTGAAGGGCTCGGAAATTTCGCTGATTAGCGAAAACCCTTAAGAAAATGCGATTTTTTTGTTCCCTTCGGAAATTACCATTTTTAGAACCCCTAAGAAATACAAATTTTCAGGACCCCTCCGAAGACGTCGTCGACAGGGGGGTGTAGATATTAAATGGAATGGCCCTTTGAATTTACACCTGGAAATTTTGCAATAGTCGTTTGCGTGTTTTTTGACCGAAATCCGCTCTCTCTTTGAGACTTTATTTTTGGGAGTCTCAACTAGTGACATATATTATTACAACAAGAGCTTTTTACAAAAAAAAATGTAGTTATTAAACACGGCAGAATCGATGCCACGGCCACGGGTTTTCAAATTGTCTATTGTCTATTGAGTTAATTGTATTATTGAGCAAATGACAGACTTCACGCAATAATGATTGTTGTTTTTTAGCCTGCTATTGTTCGACACTTTTAATAAATAGTGTTTGTTACTTTGTTCAAAAACCTAAATACGTTTCCTTAAATCTTACAGTTATATTTTGGATATAAATATATAAAATACATTAACTAATCAGAGAGTAAAATTTTACGTCTCTGTAGTATAGTTACATAATTTAAACGGCAATGTGCGAACAAGACAGCAATATACAAACGGGACTATGTTTTAAATATTAGAACACTTTAGGGAAAAAACGACCATGAATTATTTTAGATTAAAGTTTAGACCTTGGAATCCTAGTGAAAGATACAGGCGTAAAATTGCGCGAGAAACTGTTTGTTGTTGTTAATAACCGCTGGTAATCTAATTAACAAAACTTGCTTTGATTGGCTACTATTTACCGGATATTCAATTATCTCAAAGGGGGCGTATTGAAAAAATATCAATAAAAGTCGCAGGCTCTATATAATAGAGCCTGTGAGCAGGCTAAGCCGGAATGAAAATTGAAATTGTCAACATCTTTTCATGAGACCGGAACGAAAATCACAAAATTTTCAATTTATTCCCCTTGCCAGGCAATTTTCTTTTTTAGATGGATTTTGTTAGCATGTGTTGTTCCAATGTCAAGGTTACAGCCGAGACCGTTCTGAAATGTATTTGTGTTTACATTCATCCCAGTCTGAATTCATGCCGGTCTGAAGTCAATCGGCTCGGTCCAGCAGGCGGAATGACTTGAGACCGGTCTGAGTTATTTTCGTCCCGTGGTCTCATGTAAACATCTATTATAAAACATACTATGACCGAAACGAAATGGTCCCGGTTTGACTTCGTTCCTGTCTCATGTAAACGGGACCTACGGCCGTACTTGTTCAGTTAGGGCCTGTTCATATGGGCAAAAGTTATCCCGGTTAACGAGAAAACTTTTCGACTAGCCAAATACTTTTGTTCTGTTCATATGGAGAGAAACGTTATCACGCTTACCGGGTAAAGTTTTCGGCTGTGACGTAGCACTAAACATCAATTGAATTGAAAAGTTGCTGACACGACAGAAAGTTATCCCGCTAAGCGGGAAAGTTGTGTTCATATGGGAAAACTTTATCCCGGTCACCGATATCTCGCCTGTCAACAAGCGAGATCTCGGTACACGGGAAGACTTTTTGTCTCATATGAACGCAGTGTAACTTTTCATATTATTTTCATAACAAGGCGAGATCTCGCTTTTAAACTTGTCGAAAAATTTTCTCGCTAACCGGGATAACTTTTGCCCATATGAACAAGCCCTTAGACATGGCTTTCACAGAAATATATCTGCCTATCATCAAATTCGTCCATATATTAAGAGTCCAGTTTTGCTATCTAGGAAAGTCTAGATGCAAAGTATATACCCCTCGTATACCTGAATTCAAGTCACTCGTGATGTTCCGGACTGCTTGACCCAATATAGGTATACCGTGGGACGATCCGTCCATAGTACCGGATATGACGTCATACCACAGATGACGTCATTTTAGTGTTACCTGTCTCTGCTACTTTTATCGTTGAGGTTTTGATCTCGTCTGACTTCGGGCGCTTTGTCAACTAGGGAAAAACAAAACAATTAGATTGTAGGCAGTGTACTACAATATACGCTTGTGTCTGAACTGCCTGAAAAAGATATCCCAAACGTGGTGGTCCAGTGTAGGTAGGATTCTACAGTAAGCTGTCGTGGTTTGTGTTTGAACTACCTGAAAGAGATATCTCAAACGTGGTGATCCAGTGTAGGTAGGATTTTACAGTAAGCTGTCGTGGTTTGTGTTTGAACTACCTGAAAAAGATATCTCAAACGTGGTGATCCAGTGTAGGTAGGATTCTACAGTAAGCTGTCGTGGTTTCTGTTTGAACTACCTGAAAAAGATATCTCAAACGTGGGGTCCAGCACATCCCCTCTCAATTATCTCAAACATGGGGGTCCAGTACGTTTTTGTACATCTACAAAAACATTCACTCTGCTAAATTTTTCAGCAGTGCCCCCCCCCCCCCCCC